TTGCAGTACCGGAAACTTCACTAGAAGCGTCTGCAGCTGCCCTAAGGTCGTTGGGAGACCTTCGGGAGAGCTGCAGGCGTTCTCTGACCATGGGTTTGTGGTCTGTCTGTTTTCGTTCGGCCTATCTGAGACCCTTTTATTTTCAGGGCGTTCTGGGCACCCATGGTCGCAAAGGCGAGTTTTTTGGTCTTTTGCATTCCTTGGTGATGTGCCGTCCGGCACATCTAACGCTAGTTGCACACACACCGATTTTGGACGGCCAGTATAAAATCGGCCGATATTTTATTAATAGCGAGTGCTTGCAAACTCACCGGATTTTATCGGTCAAACAATCAGTTGCTTTGTTGTCGTAATTAGCACGCACTACCAAAACGAAGTTAATGCGTAGTAACTACAATTTCACCGAGTATTCGAGACTGGAAGTCTCGAGTATGTGAGAGTGTATTTAGTCATGTACGCCACTACTTCCCGGTACTGCCGGCGATAGAGTGGCAGTGGACGGCTGCTCACCGGTATTTTACCGGCGGCGATCACCGGTCGGCGTGTGTGCCAGGTCCCGTTCCCACATGTGGTTCACTATTGGTGTGTTACCAGCGTAACTAGCGTTACGCTAGTTGCACACACACATAGTGGGAACACATAGTGGGAACACACACATAGTGGTTCACACTCATGCATACTCACCGGTTTTTACTACAACTGATTGTTTGACCGATAAAAATGCGGTGAGTGTGCAAGCACCCACTACCAATAAAATATCGGCCGATTCTATACTGGCCGTCCAAAATCGGTGTGTGTGCAACTAGCGTAACGCTAGTTGATAGATTTTGGACGGCCGACTTTGTACCGGTCGTCCAAATTCCAATAGTGAACCACATGTGGAAACGGGACTTGGCACACACGCCGACCGGTGATCGTCGCCGGTAAAATACCGGTGAGCAGCCGTCCACTGCCACTGTATCGCCGACAGTACCGGGAAGTAGTGGCGTACATGACTAAATACACTCTTGCATACTCACCGGTTTTTTACCGACCATTCCAGTCTCGAATGCTCGGTGAAATTGTAGTTACTACGCATTAACTTCGTTTTGGTACTGCGTGCTGATTACGACAACAAAGCAACTGATTGTTTGACCGATAAAAATCCGGTGAGTGTGCAAGCACCCGCTATCAATAAAATATCGGCCGATTTTATACTGGTCGTCCAAAATCGGTGTGTGTGCAACTAGCGTAACGCAGGCTGAAACTGCTTTACAGTTGGATTACGTGTGACCGAACTTTTGGCATCTGTAACATTGACCTGCGCGGTTTCTCGGCTTTAGTGTTTCGGCGCTTACACGCACGTTATGAATTTCGGTAATCTCATATATTTTGTTTTGGCTCCTTGGAACTGAAACAAGCACGATCAATGATGACAAAGGGATGAAAGGAACTAAGATTATTGTTTCGTATTTTTCTAAGGATGTTAATTGTACTAGGCTCAAAACAGAATACAAATTACAGATATGTTATATCAGAATAGTTGCTTGTTGTTGTCACGGACGGTTTCCACATAGCGAACTTTGTTTACAAAAACACAGACAAAACACTCAAACCTTATGATATTTTCGCCTGCCGACGGGACATTTCGTTGTTGACAAAAACAATTTGCCGCAACACAAAGTCTTCAGATTGTTTCATATTTTGACAAATCAAGTTTTTGTTTTGTCGAAATCAACACAGTTACTGTTTTGTAGTGGTTTTGTCCGTTTGGTGGAGAACCTCCTTTAGTTATAAGTTGTTAATTGTATCATCAGAGTGAATTGGAAAATATTGTGGAAGCGAGAAGAAATATACTAATTCTTGACGTATTAAGAATGATATTGTTTTTGGTAAATCCCAAATCGTCATAGGATTTAACTTTATATATGCCTGATAGCGATACAAAATTATTTCATGGAAAACATTGATATTTTTCAAATTCAAGAATCTTCAGAATCCTCCAGTACAACCACGCCTATCCAATTTGAATAAATTGATTATGTTATGGATTGCAAGTCCCGTAACCTATCAAGCATTTATAAGTTTTAACTGGTGCTTCCGAGACCGTGTATATAATTGTGTGCGAACACGACAAGATTCACAAGGTAGAAGGTGTTTTGTTTTTATTTCGGTTTCGGTTGTTTCAAGTTCAGTATCCCTGTCGTGATGAGGGTAACTTCCTTATTTCAAATAGAACACCCTGTATTTCATTACATTTTTGAATTTCTCAGCACATTTTAGGCCCAATTTGTATAACAATGCCTTTACCAAAATTGTTAGTTTTCGAGATATTAATTTTTTTCTGAAAAATTTGACAGTTACAGAACCACTTCGAAAAAATCATAACAGCTGAAAATGTGAAATTCCACAGAATCACACCTTAAACATCAAGTCATGAACAGGTCCATCGAATTTTCGAAAATAATTCACAGGGTGGTCGAAATTTCCACCTGAAACATAACATCGAGAAAAGTGATGAAACACGATTTTTTCAAATAGAAACCATACACTATTCTATCATTTTTGGATACAACGAAAAAAAGATTTCAAATTCATGAAGAATGTCCTATATCTAAAATACACCCCTGGCAAGATATATCCGATTTTGGGAAATATTTGAAATGTAAATCATTCGAAGCAATACCAAACCAAGAAAGATTTCAAATTCATGAAGAATGTCCTATATCTAAAATACACCCCTGGCAAGATATATCCGATTTTGGGAAATATTTGAAATGTGAATCATTTGAAGCAATACCAAACCAAGAAAGCTTTGAAAACAAATTTGTCAAATTTGATACGATATAATTGACGTGTATTTCATAGTTTTCTATTTGTGTGCAAAATGTCTTGTTTGGGGTATTCTAATTAAGATTTCCTGAATTTAATAATAATTTATGGTGAATGCAAGATAATGGACAGAACTTGTGTTTTTGCAGAAAGATTTCCAAATCTACACAGACCCAATAAAAACATTCTGAGAAGACTTCTAAAAAACTGCCATGATTTCGAATTTTTTTCGTCTGTCATCAACAAAAAAAAAACACTCGTAAACAATGAGGACATCGAAATTGTAGTTTTAGCCTACTTCACAGCCTATCCAGAAAATTTATTAAAAGACGCAGAAAAGCCACTTAGAATTTCATGTTCGTCAATAAACCGGATTTTAATCAAACATAAGTGGCGTCCCTTTAAATATCGCCAGGTTCAAAATCTGAAACCTCACGACTTACCTGCACGAGTGGAATTCTGCGAATGGTTTCTTATCAAGATACAGGAGGACCCTGAGTTCATGAAGAACATGATATGGATAGATGAAGCCAAATTTTACAAGAATGGTATGTACAACCGCCGTAATAGTAATTTTTGGGCAGCAGAAAATCCAAAGCTCGTTCGCCAGCGCAACTTCCAGGATTCATGGAGTTTCAATGTTTTTTGCGCTATAAAGGAAGACCGAATTTTATGTTTATATCTTTATGAAGAGAATTTGAAAAGCGATAGATATTCGCATATAATTAGGAATGTGGTTGGTGAATCCATAAGGCATGTTTCTGAACAATACCGTTTCAAGTTATGGTATCAGATGAATAGAGCCCCTGCACATAGTACTGATATCGTTGTTGGGTTGTTGAATGGGATGGTCGAAGATCAGAGGCTTTGCTACAATGGGCCATTTAAATTTCCTCCTCGCTCTCCAGACCCGACGCCACTGGACTTCTTCATCTGGGGATATATCAAAGAAAATGTTTATGCGGATCCTGTAAGTGATAAAGAAAACATGAAACGAAGGGTTCTGAGAGCTTTCAATAATTTAATTCCTGACTCCATTCAGAAAGCTACAAATAGTGGTATGCAAAAAAGAATATATTCTTGTTCAGAATAAAACGGCAATGTCTTTGAACATCTGTTAAAATGATCCACAATATTATTTGAATTTAAAGAAATTAAATTAAATTCTAAAATCAAAATAAAATCTAACCTTGAAAAATATAAACAAAATAAAATTACTGTGTTCGATATCAATGAACGAAGATATATAGTTGATCTCTCTGATAGTATTTTATTTCAATCCATCCATTTTCATGTTGAGTAACCTTTTACCAACGACAGAGGTAATATTAGTTCATTTGTTTTCAAAGCTCTCTTGGTTTTCTTGGTTTGGTATTGCTTTGAATGATTTGCATTTCAAATATTTCCCAAAATCGGATATATTTTTCCAGAGGTGTATTTTAGGTATAGGACATTCTTCATGAATTTGATATCTTTATCAAATTCATGAAGAAATAATAGGATAGTGTACACCTTGTAAATTATTTTAGAAAATTCGATGGACCTGTTCATGACTTGATGTTTGAGGTGCGATTCTGTGAAATTTCACATTTTTAACTGTTACTGTCTATGAGTTATGATTTTTTTGGAGTGGTGCTGTAACTGTCAAATTTTTCAGAAAAAAATTAATATCTCGAAAATTAACAAATTCGAGTATAGGCATTGTTTCACAAAGTGGGCCTAAAATATGCTGAGAAATTCAAAAATGTAATAAAATTCAGGGTGTTCTATTTGAAATAAGGAAGTTGCCCTCAACTTCCGGTATAATGGAAAGAAACCGGAAGTTGAAAATATTTTAGTTGAGATGGTCATTTTGTAAAACCCTCTACCACAAAATTTCAAGTTTTTATTTTGAATCGTTCTCTATATATTCCCAACGAACGCTCGTCCCTTATAACCCTTATAATGTGCATAATAACTATGAGTTTATGAACTAATTTCGTCTTCTCTCCTCACCTTTTAATTGTTTTGATGCGAATGTATCTTCTCAGTTGATTGAATGTAATCCAATCAACTCGATGTTGATGAGTTTTCGTAATAGTTACTGATACACAATTTTTAGTATTTAGTGACACACTTCTAAACCGCTCATCATTGAAAATATGAATCCTAAATTTCACAAAAATCTTACTTCAACTAGATCTTTTCAGATGAAGAAAATCAATCGTTGGGCTACTTTAATATCCTGGATATTCGCATGGAATGTAGTTTTTTGTCAAATCGAGTTTCCTGAGTTGCCTTCACAAAGACTGGACAGTGAAAATACAGAAGTGAGTAGTAGATAATGTAATGTAATGTACATTTTAAGAGGTTTAAAGTTTTGAAAATGCTTATTCCAAACAACAGGTAAGGGTTATTGAAATAGTTGAATATATCCAAATATATATTGAAATTAATAAATTAACCAATGATCATCATTAATAACCGGTTAAATATAACAGTTGTTGTGTCGTTTCATGGCAAGACGCTATCAAAAAACGTCTAAAAAATAAATTATTAATTTCGGTTTTATGGAACTTTGACCTACAAAAAACAATCAGATCATTTTTCTAGCTATATCATCAGTGGCACCTAACCTGTTATCCTTGACTCACGGCTAATAGCGAAGGATTGTTTATTCCAAAATCCCCACTCTGACGCAATCTACAGACAGAACAGGTTTTATTTTCAACAAGAACTTCATCTTCGAAGGAATTACTTCTACATCATACAAACTATAGATTGCGGACGTAAATAGTCCCCCTCCCCTTTTTATATTTGAATGTTGCAAGGATTGGACAAAATTGGATCATTGACTTCAAAAAGTCAATGGTGTGACATCACTCGCCGGAAAGAGGGCTCTATAAACTTTTTTTCAAATAGAAAGAAGGGTCCTGTGTCCCTTCACTCGAAAGATAAATCAAATCTTTATACAACGACCTTTAATGATATGAATTAAGAAAACCGTTTGCGGAGTTATTGGTGCATGAATCCATATTGACCTTGATGGACGTCACACGACCTTGAACGATGTTCAAAGTCATATGACTACGACATTGAGCTATATGCCCACCATATGACCTTGAAGAACCTAAACGACATTGATAATGAGCACGTCATATGACCTTGGGCACAAAGTTTGGATTAGACGATCGATTTTGTTCTTGATACATGACCTTGAGCTAGGTCCACTTGAACGTATAGAAGGTGTAACTCCTTTCTGATAATTCTTTCATAAGCACAGGGTTTTTTGCTTTCACATTCAGCCTAGATATTCAAATAGGAATGGAACTGTTTTTCACCAATTCATGAACATTCAATATTTTTTTTGAACAAAACCCATTTGTTTTACTTCATGTAAGTCAAAAATCTCAGTAGGAAATGATACTTTTTTAAACTTCGCCATTGACGTGCACCCCTTATTCTATAAGAGAACTGATCATGTTCAAGAGAAAGATCAGTTTGATATTCCTCTTGAATATGATTACTTGGTGATCGAAACACGTGTTTTAATAACGGTTTGATGTTGGGAAAAAACTCCAGTAATATTAATTAGTACACTAAAGGTTCCAAACAGTGCATCACAAGTATAACAGAACTGTCAAAGTTACTATGTTAACCATTTTCATGAAACACTTTTACTGTAAAAAAAGGTAATTGTATATGTCACTGTGATTTGATAACTCACTTTTTCATTGGCATAGAGGAGAATCTGAGTGATCCTCCATATTCAAAACCTCATCCACCCACGGATTCAAGAAATTGTGGCCAACAAATTTGAATTATTTCGAAAATCTAGTTGTTTACCACCAAGATATTTCACATTCACATTTTTTTCAGGCCTGTAAAAGATTGGTTGGATCAGACATACCCAAGCATATGGATTGGTAGGTACGGTTCGTTAGAATGGCCTGATCGTTCACCAGATTTGACTCTTCTCGATTTTTGGTGCTGTATCAAATTGAAAGTTTATGTAACGCTATATTAGAGACGAAACTTGTAATACCATTAGCTCAGAAATATTTCAAAATGTTTTAAATGAGTTCGAAAATAGACTATTTCACTGTCAGGGGGTTCAAGGAGAATATATTGAACATTTGCTCGAATGATTTTTTATGGATGATATGAAAAAAATGAAGATGGAATACAATACTATCATTTTACGTACTTGAAATTAACACTCATCTATTGCAGATGTTGCAAACATCAATGAGTTCGTTCGCAACCAGTTATCGAAACCAAAATAGACACAAGACTCCCCTTGAAAGAAGTTGATAGCCCCTCTCGGGGGCAAGTGATGTCACACTATTGTCTCTTTCATCAAAAAGTACTGAAAATTATTCCTCTCTAATATCTAGCCCCGTTAGAAAGTTAAAAGAGGAGGAGGTCATTCACGTCAGCACTATATAAAGCAATAGCTGAATGAAGTATGTGTTGGTGAAACTTTCATACTCTTTTTCTTCGTTTCAAGCTCCTTTCAAACCTATATTCTGTTCATCAGTACCAGTACTTGACATTTTAAAGATTTTAAACTCCGAACTACCCTAAAGTTTAAACTTTCTCTTGAAATAACGGTTTGGTGTTGAGATAAAACTTGGCATTTTAAAGATTTTAAACTCTGAACTACCCTAAAGTTTAAACTTTCTCTTGAAATAACGGTTTGGTGTTGAGATAAAACTCCAGTAATATTCATTACCATCCCGATTACTTCAAAACGCGGATCAGTACGAAGAGATTAGTTCGAGAAAAAGCGATATGTGTACGAGTAAAATAAGTGCGGTGATTATGATAACTACACATCTGATACAAAGTGTTTTCTTCGTTGAAGTTACTATCATATAGATAATAAACGTTTGAAAATAAAATAACATTCCGGAACACCCAATTTCTTCACGTCTGATGAAAAAAGAAATTTTCAGGAAAGAGTTCCACTATTCGCTCCAAACAGATGCCCGGAAAATCAGTTATTGTATCCAGGGGACCAACAGCATGATTGGATATGTGATTGCGGTCCAGGTGAGATAAATATCAGAGAATTTTCAAGATTTTGTGATAGTTTTTCGATAATATGTGTTATGTTGAATGGCAAAAAAACCCTGACATTTTGATAAATTCATACAGAATCTTGATCGTGTCTAAGTCTCATTTTCCTCACATGCAGGCACTAGTATATGTTTATCAAACAATTATTATGTGGGTGGTCTACCACATTTTACAATTATGATGATAATTTTCCAGAGATATTGCTTATACTGATAACACACATGTTTATAGTTTTATCCGGAAATGTTAAGATATCAAAATCAAAATCGACCTTCAAGAAACACCTCCTGATTTGATAATACAGATATATTTATATAACTTCATTATTGAAATAAATCGTAATCCAGAATGGAATCTCTATTAATACTATTAATATTTTTGTACACTCTTATGATCTTCGACATTTTCTAATTTCTTAAGATTTTCTCGCCTGTCATATGAATTATGAAATTGTGTATTAATATTCTTCCGTCAAATAAGTTCCTTCTTCAAGAGACTAATTTTATTTTTTAGGGTTTATCTACTACCCACCAAAAGATTTTTGTTATGCTGCCTATCGTCAAGGCCCTTGTGAAAAGAATCATCATTTGATAATTGAAAGAGCAGAAGTTATTCCTAAGTGTGTCAAAAATCCGTGTGAAGATGGATATGCAAGGTAATTGTTTCGTTATTTTCTTCTATACGCTATAACATAAAAAAAAATGAATCGGTGCGTGATTCGGCAACCACAAAGGCTTCATCGGGAAATGAAGTAAATGAATGCAGTTGATATAGAACGTTCTGGTTTATTGAGGATAATTTCAGATTGATGAATCCTCTGTTATAGTTTCGACTGCGAAATGATCCTAAACTGTCTTCAACCGTCCCGAATCGTTCTTGCTCTCTAGTCTGAACTGTTGAGAACATTCATGTGGAAATTTATTTGGGCTATTTTCTAGGATGTTTTTTTATTTATTTAATTTGAATAATTGATGATTGACGTTAGATAACATTTGAACTGACTACAAGGATACGCTACATAACAAAATTGGCATGATCAACAATATTTTATCGTCTTCATCTCTTCATATGTATATGTATATGATAGGTATGGCACAGTGGTCTCCTCAAAATGCGTTCTGGTTTAACCAAGTATCCGAGACTATTTCGGACTGTTTGAGATTTTTTGCTTGTACGCATCATGTCTTGAGCAGTTTCCAAACAGTTTCGGATGTTAGAACCAGAACAAACCTTGACTTGGGTGTCACATCAATAGGTGGTTCCACTTATGTCTCGCTTGCGTTTATGCAGTTATTTTTATCAAGTAATTTTTTTGGTTATTCACATTTTGTCTTCAATCGAGGACCGCCTGCCCAGTACTGACGATGCCCAATAGGCTGAAACAGCTATCTACCGGTGGCTTTTAAATTGAAATCAATACGGGAATGCTCTGAATATCTATCTTTTGATTTTCATGGAATTATTTTCCAGCAGCTTGACTGCATTAACTTTTCTCGATTATATATATTGAAAGTCGTCGAAAGTTTTTCGAACTCTTTTCGTTCATTGGAGAAGATAAACAAGTTGCCTCAAAAGGGCTGTTCATTAGAGTTATGAAATTTCACTTATAGAAATACAAACAGTGGTAGTTTATATTGACAAAGCCAAACTATTCAATGGTTGCATTTTACATTTTACAGTCCTTGAATTTTTATGAAACGAGGTCCTGAGATTTGATAAAACAAAACGATGTTTGTTTTCTTCAATTCAACAATAGCAGTAATATTGGGAACGTGATTTTTTGCCGCCTCTTACAATCTCTGATACTCTATTTTTTAAATAGCGCCCAGTTTGACCTACGTAACATTTTGAACAGTCACGATAGTTGATCTTGTAAATTAAGTTGGATTGCAATTCTTCAGAGCTTCTTGTTTTTAAATATCTGAAAAAATTGAATATTGATTTAAAAAATCCAAGATACAAATAGATATATATTTTCAGATACAAAGGCAAATGTTATGAAATGGGCAAACCAAATGGTCCATGTCGTCCCATTCAAGAAGGCGGTGGAATCTTCGACGTGAATGCCACCACTCTGCTTGTAGAGTGTTTGAAAGGAACGGATCGTTTATCTCTCTTCAATCTACCAAATCGGTGCAGGCCTGGAAGCAAGAGAGATAATAATGGAATCTGCCGAGTAATCTATAATGACTAAATATATACCTCAATGATGGGTGAATTATTTTTCGATAAATATTTGTAAACAATGTAGTTGTTATGATCCAGTAGTAGGTATTTATGCTTTAGGTATAACACTTAATGTTTTTTTCAGAAGATAAGACAAAATATTGAAAGCTGCTGGAACTATGAACGATTCATGACTGTTAATTTTCAACTATAATAAACAATTGAAACTAGTTGTTTTTTTTCAGGATCCAAAACTTGGTAACTTTTAAACCATAAGAGTTAGAAGGTCGGTCAAATGGAGAAAAATTACACTTATAGAAACACTGTCAAATGGTTCAAACATTTCGAGATCAGGTCTGGTTATTGAGATATTATAAGAGTAAATTACGTCATTATGATTTTTTTTCTAAGGTTATTTAAAAAATATCATAAAATGTAACAGGCATTTTTATTCGATAGTTTGGTCTCCTCAATATGACAATCAGATTTCGAATCCAACGTTTCGTACTCTCTAGGTCCACCCTCTTCCTCAATTTTTTCAATACGGTCCTGCATATTTTGTGATGCTTTTGAAAATAACTTTTCACGCTGAACTCAATGATATATATCATACAATTTCATTCAAAGTTGATTTCCAGGTGATTTTGACTCTTATCTAAATTTTTTTGGTTCGGATCTGCATTAATTTCACCAAAGCTAAATTTAATACAGATCCGGACCAAAAGAAATCTGGATAAGGGTCAAAATCACTTGAAAACCAACTTTGAATGACATTGTATGATATATCGTTGAATTCAGCGTGAAAAGTTATTTCGAAAAGTGTCATAATATATGCAGGCCCGAATTGAAAAAAAATAGGTTGAGGGTGCCCCAGAGAGTACGAAACGTTGGATTCGAAATCTGATGACCTCAAATTGGGGACAATTTACTATAATGCAGGCCCGAATTGAAAAAAAATAGGTTGAGGGTGCCCCAGAGAGTACGAAACGTTGGATTCGAAATCTGATGACCTCAAATTGGGGACAATTACTATCAAATAAAAAATACTTGTGATATTTTTTGATAATGTTTGAAATAACGTGAGAAAAGAAGAATTAAAATGGCAAAATTTATCTATCTCATGATATCCTAATAACCGTCCCCAATATTCTGGATTTGTTTGAACCACTTGACCAGTGCTTCTATGATTGTAACCTTTTTCTTCATTTGACCGACCTACTAACTTTTATGGTTTAAAAGTTACCAATACAATCCCATTAGAAAAGTGATATCGATAATTTTAAAACGCTCCAGAAATAACGTGTGTGGGTACTCTTCAATCACACTGATGTTCTCAATCTGAACCAACAAATCTAAATTTAAAGAATACTTTATGAATATAATATATAGAAATTTTTCGAACTTGAAGGTAGTTTCTATAAAATACAAACACGAAAGTGGCAATATACTGAAAGAATATTTTCAAAATAGTCTCAATTATATTCTTGCAAATTACAGTTCATCTTCTGAAGCGACTTCTTCGCAAATCCTGTTTTGTCGTAACTATCAGACTTATGTAGGTATAGTAAAAATATTTTCAGCATAGCTGCGAAACTAGCAAAATGAAATTGCTAAAAAAATTAACTTGATGCATTGATTCTGTTTTCGGAATAATCAAAACCCGCAAACATTTCAAAGCGATCTTCTTGATTATCCAGTTTTTGTAAATATTTTCATATATCATTGTCCTTCTACAGTGTTACATTCTTACTAGTCTCATAAATATCGATCCAAGAAATGTTCATTAACGAATAATCCCATAAATTCGAAAATTTACTAATTATAAAACAAGTAAATCAGTTGATTATTTTTGAATTTGAGATGTAAGCTTCCAAACGCACTTTGCTCTTGTTATGAACATTTTCAGTTTCTTCGGCCTATATTTGGCTTGTCCATAAAGAACAAAAAGTCAGCGAATCATTAGTTTACACTCAATCGAACCATGTTATTGATGACACAAACGAAGAGCATTGAACATGCATCTATTGTTTTTGTGTGTAAAAATAGGTACAGTCGATTGCTGCGCATAACAGTATTAGACGCCAACTTGAATTGATTGAAAATTTATTCCCTTCAGCAGATCATTAATACAAATAAAATATGAACAGTTGTGAGCCACTGGTGTCAGTGGAATTTGAAGTTTTTGGTAAAGTACAAGGTGAGTTTCAATTAATATTGTTTACTAGTTTTCCAATCTGTCTGAAAAAACTTTCAATGAAATATTATCTCTCTTTTCGGTAAAAATTTAATGAAACTATCAAGTTCAACTATGATCTTTTTCATCTAATGATCAATTTATTAACACGAAAATATCAAAGAAAAAACTTCAAAATAAAAATGACGTCACATTATCGACCAATGTTTTAACCAGTGACGTTTAAGATGACGTTGTCCTAAATCACAAATGATGTCAAAATGTTTATTATACTATTCTTAGAGAAATATTTTTAGTTCATACTTTTTCAGAGTGCCTCAAAAGTTCCAACAGAATTCATAAGATGCATCCCATATCACCTTTAAAGAGTCTAAAGGGCAAATATTTAATAAACGTGCCTCGTTTCAAAGGATGTAATCCGCGTAACTGTCGATTTACTTCAGAAAAATGTGTTTGTGTTTCGATCGAAAACATAATACACAGAACTCAGCTTTCGTGTAACTCAATGTATATATGAAAGCAACTGTTTCAAGGGGGCTTTTTTCCAGTTTGTGTCTGAAAGTTACTTTGCATGAGTTTGTATAGAGTTAATTTTTTGAAATTGGTTTCTTCGTTTCTTTGGAAGATTCCCACATTTTTCTATCAAGATGGAGTAGTAGAAAGCCAAAAACTTTATTTCCCAAAAGGTGAAATTTTTTCTCATCGTATACTACTTTCCTTATCTAAATACATTCCAGTAAATATATCCCTTATTTATGAACTGATACTGACAAACATTTTTTTGTTGTATCAAGTTTGAAAAATGTTGGAGGCATCGCAAGGGGTAAATAAACAAAAAATGCATGAAACATTTCTCAGAGTTCTCCACTATTCCTCAAAATTATAAATAGTAATCATACTTTGATAGTTGTCTAAACCAAAGTTAGGGGGTCAAAATTAGACAAGTAACATCATCAATTTCCTGTATCCAAAGATTGATTTCCGTTCCCGACACAACTCTGAAATTTTTATTTTAACCTGAATTGACCTTTCTTTACAATGAGAAAGAAGTATTACAAGAACTTGACACGTGATACTACTTTCTTCATTTCACTGTGACAAATTTCCCAAATTTTGGTCATTTCCATATTCACTGTATCAAGGGGTTTCAGTTCTAAAAATCCGAAATCCGATATTTCACGCCGAACATTTTTGAACACAGTAACGTCAATATCTTACAAATATTAAATATTCTCTGCCTTATAACCAATATTGAAGCAGGTTCAGTTTCGTACACATTTTACTTCAAATAGCCCAATAAAAAAATCCAAAGGTGTCAAATCTGGCCAGCGGGATGGCCATTCTGTAGGACCTCGACGGCCAATCCAACGACCGGGAAAAGTAGTATCCAAATAGTTTCATGCAATATCGACAATTTTGTCTGTGAACATTGCCGTATAAAAAAATGTACTTTCTTCACTAAAACAAATATTGAAATATTGTGGAAATAGGTAGGATGCCTTGCAATTGTTTCCGTTATGATTTCGCAGAATTCTGTTCGTCGATCAGGGTCATCTTCATTTAATTAGTGTACCATTCTTGAAAAGTCTACTCCACACAGTAGAAGGAGACACCTCACAAACATTCGCGACGAAATAAGTAGACTGTTCAGGATTTACTACCATCTCACCAATTATTTGCACTTGCTGTTCTTCCGGAATGGACGGATAACCTGGGGGCTTTTTGTTATGTACACTACCGGTAGTCGTGAATTTGGATACAAGTTCCCTCGAATATTTTCTACAGATAGGACGATTCGAAAAACGTTCTTTGAAAATCATCTTGGTCTCGTGAAAGTTATGTGTCGCACCGTAAATAAAAATCACTTCAATTTTTTCTTCCAATGGACGATAATTGACCATTTTAGAGATTGTTGACATGGTACCTTTGTAAAACCGAAAACTAAATGAGAATATTCTAACTGAACAATGATGTTCATTGTCGTACTGACATTTTTTGTCGTTTTTATAAACAAGAAATAACTTAACAAATCTTATCAGGTTGATGGAATTGCCATATGACAGATAAGAAGGAATATTTCTAGAAATATCGATATTAATGTGTTTAACTTCAGGAAATTATTAAATTTTCCGCCATTTTGTAGCAGGTGAAGATATTCACTTCATATTCTAGGGTTGTGGAGTATTCGTCAGGAGCTTCAAAATGATTTGTCACAGAACTCCCCTTTTCAGTTAATTTTTTTTCCCAAATGACGCCCAGTCGCCATTTCGAAAGGTTCATCTGTTGTTAATTTCACTATTCATGCATTAATTACATTATCCCAAATTTAAATTTTTTGAGTTGACCAGGGACATTAAAGAAATGCATTGTATATTTAATCAACTTTTGCACTGAATTTTTGAATTCAGTGCACTGTAATCCATTTTCCACTTTGTTTTCAAGGTTTAGGTACTTATTTTATCTTATATTTCAAAACTGTTGACACTTTTACCTCTCTCAGAAGAACCACTTCCGATTCGATCGATGGCTTCTTTTTTTTCAGGAGTTTCCTTCACCAAATACTGCAAAGAAATGTGTGAAGAACTCAATTTGGGAGGATGGGTGAAGAATACCAAAAAAGGTACAATTCAGGGAAAATTGCAAGGATATAGGTCGAACATTGAAAACATGTAAGTAATAGTTGTCAGTACAAGAGAAATATGAACAAATGAGGTAGTAATTTGTTCTGTGAGAAAATCTAGACCACTGCGGCCATTGCTAAATTGTCTTTGATGTATATCACAAATGTAGATCAAACATCACAAATAAAAACCTGCAGACCACGGACGAGAAAACCGGAAAATTAGTTTGAAAATATTCTTATGAGACGAAAATGCAGTAACGTTAGTTACAAATAAAAGTGATAAAAACACAGAAAGTATCATTTCTCATTTTTCATGATGATCTCCTACCACATAGTAACGGCTACATCCATCAATTTATTGTTTTTATTTTCAGTAATTTCACAGATATCTACAAAAATGTAAATTTTCTTTACGACTTATAAAACCGCGACTTCTATCACAAGGAAGTAAATGACAAAAAACACCCCGTAGAGCTAAAATAATTATTTATTTTGAAAGTAATAAAAAGAATACCTATTCATCTACTTTTTTATAACCTGTATTGGTTACTATAAAATCAATAGAACATTTTCCGGCATCCTGCCAAATGTAACTATATTTATAGGATCGTTAATGTTTGAATGATACAGAACATCAATTTGTTTTTTTTCAGGGTTACGTGGCTGTCAACCACAGGTTCGCCAGGAAGCAAAATAGATCACTGTGAACTTGCAAACTGGCAAAACCTTGCAAAGCCCGATTACCAAGGATTCCAAATTAGATTTTAAGATAAAAATACTCAAAGGTTATGAGATGTTGACTTGCAAACTTATTTATTACAGGAGAAACAATAAATTATGGACCAAGAGTTATTTTTGTGTTATTTTTAATTGAAATCAATTACGAGTACATAAAATCACCAGTAGGTGAACATGAAGACATTTTACTTATCATTACAATTTCAATATCACTTTTGGTATAAAAAATGTAAGTAGGAGACTGTCTTTTAAACTTCCTCAAATTTCCGTTGGATATTTTTCAAAAAATTTGTGGCTTTCCGCTTCTTTTCAATTTTTACTTAATTATGTCTTCAATTTACCATATGTGCAATCCTAACCAACCTAAGTATAAAAGACCGTAAGCCCCATACTAAATTCTTATAGTAATGAGTTTCAGGTGCGACTTTTGTGAAATTAGTTTTTTTATATCACTTCCAAAATACAAATCATGAAATTATAAAAAAAACACAAAACTGCAGTATTGTGATGCCCAAAGATGCTATCGCATAGCGAAACACGTGTTGCGGCTTTGTAAACTTTCACATAGAAATCTTAATACTTCCTGAATTATAGCATTTATCAGAAGATTAAGAGAGGCAATATTTATTCACTTGAAGTAGTTTCAAAATTAGCAATGAACTTTGATTTTCCCAAAATCAGTGATATTTTATGTACTATGAAGTTAGAAAAAAATTGTTCAAAGAAAAGGTTTATCAATTTTTTTTTTGAAAAATGCTAATTTTCCAAGAATTAATGGGATCTGAGTTACTTGTCTATATAAATATTAGACATTTTGTATTGATACTTCATCTTATTCACGAGATAAACGTAATCACTATGGTAACATAATTCAGAACTCCAAAAACAAAAGTAAAACTTCCTGGTCTATCATAAATGAACTGAAAGGTAAATCCAAGTCGAAGCCTAACATTAAGCTGATACATGAAAATGAAGAGATCACTTCACCTGTAACTGTGGCAAACACCTTTAATAATTTTTTCATTGATGCACCACAGAAAGTTATACATAATATACCAGATGTAGGAGGGAATGCTGCCTCTACTCAGAGAAATATAATGAATTCAATAGTGGTACTCTCACTTACATAATCAGAAATTAAAGATATTTT